CCTGCCCATCTGACTGGGTTGCCCTAGCCGCTCTGGGCAGCTTCCAACATATATAAAACATAATAAAACATTAAACATTAAGGAAATTCCCTATGTAGGGATGTCTTCTAAAGGTTTCCTAGTTACTTATCTCTGTGGCACGGGGGTCGCATAACTCCATATCTGCCAACATTTCTCCAATGAAAATTGAGGGGTCCTAAGGAAAAGGGACGCGGGTGGTGCCATGGTCTAAACCACAAAGTCTAGGGCTTGCCAGTCAGAAGGTCGGTGGTTTGAATCCCTGCAATGGGGTAAGCTCCTGTTGCTTGGTCCCAGCTCTTGCCCACCTAGCAGTTCGAAAGCACATCAAGTGCAAGTAGATAAATAGGTACCGCTCCGGCGGGAAGGTAAACGGCGTTTCCATGCACTGCTCTGGTTCGCCAGAAGTGGCTTAGTCATGCTGGCCACATGACCTGGAAGCTGTCTGCGGACAAAACGCCAGCTCCCTTGGCCTATAGAGCGAGATGAGCGCCGCAACCCCAGAGTCGTCCGTGACTGGACATAACGGTCAGGGGTACCTTTGCCTTTGCCTTTAAGGAAAAGCAGGACATTCTTGGATCAAATCAGAAACCAGGATGACTTCTGTAAATCTGGGACTGTCCCTGGGGACACTTGGAGGGTGTGGTGCTGTACCATAGAACTTATTTCCAGCTAAGTGTACATAGGATTGCAGTCTTAACCAGTTTCAACCCCCCCATGTAGCCCGAAATAAGTTTTGAGAGAGATGCCATCTTTCTTTCTTTTTTGCTTTCCAACAGAACTTGTCCATTTGTTTACCTGTAGATGTTTCTCGGTAATCCTACAGCTCCTGATCAAGTAGGAGGGAAAGCACACAAAAAGTGAGGAAGCTGTGAGTTTGCTTCCCCAGTTTAAAGCCCTGTCCAAGATTTGTAAAGGCACCTGCGCCATTCTGTACAGTTGGTGTTCGATACCACTGGCTATTTGTTTGTGGGGAAATGTCTGAATCCAGCTCTCTGCTTTCGGTCTCGTCTCCAAACAGATGAGTTGTCTGGTGTTGAACAAATGGATTCCTAGAGTGGGCTTTCTGCCTTATAAGTTATTTTATAGTGCTCACTTGCCCTTCATTGTAAGCTGGGTTACAACAACAAAAAGTGTTTTAAGCAAAGTAAATGCAACCAAACATGCAAAAAAGTCACCAGGTAGGTTACAACAGCGGAAGACTTCTCCCACCACTTTTTTCATGCTCAAGGTTGGCAGAACTATCAAGAGAACCCCCCTCTGTTGATCTTAACACCTTGGCTGGTTTGCAGGGAAGGTGAGGTTGTATTTCAAGTATTTGGGTTCCAAATCATATGGGGCTTTAAATACCATTTTGAGCACTTTGAATTGGGCTCAGAAATAAACTGGCAACCAGTGTAGCTGCTTTATAACAGCAGCAATGTGTTCTGTACATCACCCCATGGTTTGGGCCATGGTGATCCTTGTGGTGAACTGAATGCATAGAAGAAGTGTGTATGGGTGATATACCATATTCAATCTTGGCTCAGAATTTGCACAGCCTTAAATTCTCTTGTCATAAAACTGCATGGCTGTTGCTTTTTCATTCTTCAGAATGAAGATGGGGAAGAAGAAAGGCCTTTTTGCTTCTTGTAGGGGTTTTTTTGTGCTGATTATACACAAAGCAAATTGTAAATAGTGCTTTCACACAGTATTGTTATTCCTTTGAGATGCTCAGAGCACAGTAGCTATCCTCTCAACCCTGCTTTGCTCAAGGGATTGTACAGGGACATTTGGAAAACCCTTGCTACTCATTTCTGATGCTTTGACAACAGGAATTTAGCTCCGTATCAGAGAAATGTCATCCAACCATTAAAGCTTGAACCCTTGTAGTTGTTGTTAAAATAAATTTAGTAGCAGTCAGCGTGGATCAAAACAGTCTCCAGCTACACATTTGCATGTCAGGCCATCCAAATATGTATAGAATCTCAAGGAATGTTGTGACTCTTGTAAAACAGTAGAATAAGATTTAGGCAGCAGACTACGAGTTGTATTGTGATAAATAATTTCACTATAGGATAATTGTGTGATCGAATTTGAATTACCCGTTGTCATTCAGACTGGGGCAAAGTTGGGAGGTCAAAGTGTGTCAGCTCATAATTTTTGACTCTAAAGCAGCTCTCTGATCCTGTTGGAAAGAGTAAATTTGAGACTCCGAGATCAGGCTAACTGGCATGAACAAAAATTGCATAGAATTGCAGAGTTGGAAGAGACCCTAAGGATCTGATCCAACCCCCTGCAATGCAGGAATATGCAGCTGTCCCACATAAAGTACAAAATGTTAGTTTTATTTATCAAAAAGCCAGATGGACAGTGGACTCCTGCGCCATGCTCACTGGAACTTATTCCTGGGCAAATGTGTACAGCAGGAGTAGGGAACCGCCAGCTGACAAGCCAAATGCTGGCCCCCCCAGGCCTCTCTCACCAACCCCAGGGAGTCTACCCAGGGCGCACCCCTGTTCTGAACTTAAAGTCTCTTTGCCTGGCCAGAAAGTGTGCTTTAACTGTGATAGTGCCTCTTTTGCTTGGCTGTATGGTGTGTTTGTGTGCCTGTAGAAACATCTGTCTTTTGCTGCCTGGAAAGTAGCCTACTTTATGAAGGTAAGAACCAAATCCATTGATCAGTTTTGGCTCTGGCCTGCCCCCCGCCCCGACATGCATTGCACAGAAGATCACCAGGAAGATCACCAGGCTTCTCTACCCCCAGTGTAGGACTGCAGGGCTCCTCAGATGACCTATTTATTGAACACCCATCTTGATTTGCTTACCCAAAGCTTCTGCAGAGGGTGAATTATATCCGGTCTTTACTGAGTATTTGTTCCAGTTTGTTTGCAGGGTGGTCGTACATACATTCGTTCTGCTTTTATCCTGGTTTACTTGCAGGGTGTTTTTACACTTTCGCATTAAATCATTCATTCATCCCACCCTTTTCAATGCATTTTCCCATCGCATTTGAAACTGCCAAAATGCCTGTTTTCTTTTTTAAACAGTACGGTTGTTGTGCTAGGGTAAGAGAGCACTTAAATGCACTTGAATTGGGCAAACCTAAATTTATAGTATGCACTTGAAACCCTCCCTCGGTATAGCGACAGCCTGGGGAAACGCTAAGCCAATTTGAATCCACTTATTACAGTAAGTAGAGATGTCAATAAGTGTACAGATTTTGGAAAACCCCAGGCGTACTGCATAGGTTATTTCAGACTTTGCAAGTGGTGTTATCCGGATACGTAAATATTTAGGCCAAATGGACGGGATAGCATAAAACTAACAGCATCATGACAAAACAAACACTGAAGAAGTATCCTTTGTTGTGTCACAAAGACTACTGCCATTCCTTCCCACATAATTTCAGACTGCTTTGAAAGTCTCCGAGACCCATAAGTGAGCTGCCATAATAAATAACATTTCCAGGAGATTGCTTGGAAAGGGCAAGTTCTGAGAGCCAGTGTGGTGTAGTGTTTAAGAGCGATAGACTCGTAATCTGGGGAACCGGGTTCACGTCTCGTCTCCTCCACATGCAGCTGCTGGGTGACCTTGGGCCAGTCACACTTCTCTGAAGTCTCAGCCCCACTCACCTCACAGAGTGTTTGTTGTGGGGGAGGAAGGGAAAGGAGAATGTTAGCGACTTTGAGACTCCTTCGGGTAGTGATAAAGCGGGATATCAAATCCAAACTCTTCTTCTTCTTCTGATGTTGCTACTCATGTGATTGGCCATTATATGCTAACACATGTCTGCACTCCTCATCTATCAACACAGCATTAAAATCAGAGCAAATTCTCAAGTATTTTGGCCTATGGAAGTTGCTTCTGTTCCCCCTCTAGCTTGCATGTGGTGGTGCTGGGAAACGGGGCGTGTGACAGAATGGTGTGGTATGTGGCTAAGTTTTACTCTGAGCAAACCCCTTGAAATTGATGAACGTAACTAAGCTAGGTCCATTAATTCCAGTGGGTCTAGTATTATAGCTAAGTAAAGCTGGGACGAGAAACGGAACAAGAGCTATGCTTGGCATGGAAATACGTTTGGCAGGTTCTCGCAAGAATGCCACACAAGAATGCAGTTTTTCTCCCTCTCACTTTTCCTTCTTTCCCCCCTCTGTCACTTTATTTCTTTTAATTGAAATCACCTTAATAAAATATAAATATTAAAAAGAGGGAGAGGGAAAAAGAATGCCACACAGGGAGTAAATTGGTTTGGCAACAAAACAGACGCTCATAAAAAGCAATCGTTGAGATCTCTACCATAAATACAGTTGAAGGAAGTATAAGAATTGATAAGGCAGGGAAAATATCTGAAGCTGCATTTTTAAATGCCTGAATACTGTTGTTTCTATTTGAATCTCAAGTTTGACCCACAGCCTAAGTTTGGTGGCGGCATCTTGAAGTTCTGATTGCATTCTAAAATCCTCCTTTGCTCTGTCTGAAGGGCTGGCTCCAGAATTCTTGGGAGCTTTTCTCCTCCAACTACACGTCTCCCTCGTGACCCCATTCATTTAAATGAAATCACATTTGACCGATATGGGGAGGTTCGTTTAAATAAAAGAAACCACCAACTGCCAGGGACTGGCTGGATGAAGAGGAATAGTGTGAGGCACCAACTAGGGAACCCCCTACTAAAGCCTTGGACGAAAAGGCTCAGAGACAGGGGATTGGTGATGGGACACTGGGGTGAGGTCAGGGGGGGGAGGAGGGGAGGAATGGCTAGACCAGGGGTCGGCAACCAAAGGCCCAAATATTATTATTATTATTATTATTATTATTATTATTATTATTATTTATACCCCGCCCATCTGGCTGGGTTTCCCCAGCCACTCTGGGCGGCTTCCAACAAAGTATTAAAATACAACCGGCCCATGGGGGTTGTTTAACTGGCTGATGGGCCTCCGATGCCCACTCAGTCTGCCCCCGTGCGCCACGCTAAACCATGTTGAGCTGAGCAGGGACCGCCATCCATGATCCTGGCCAATGGGAAGCTGCACACGCCTCCTCCACGCCAGAAGGAGCTCCAGAAAAAGCGTTTGTGCATGTGTGTGCGCGCACACTCAGGCCCACCGTGGCATCTGCAGGACTGTGAACTGGCCCAGGCCACAAAAACTTTGCCGACCCCTGGGCTAGATGCTGAAGAGGCAACAGGCTTTAGCGAGCAGGAGGAGCCAAGGACAGAAAGCAGACCAGACTCAGCAGATGAAGTGTCTCAGTTGCTTGCTGCTCCTACTGTCATAAGTTTCTCTCCTGCATTGTCCCCAAAGCCATGGAGGGCTATGCGTGTAGCAGAGCAACAGGCACAGATCCAACCCAGTCCCCCTGCCCTGGTGTAATTTAAGGCTGCTTGGGAAACATACAGCTTGGGAGGAGATTTAGGGGGAAGTAGAAGAAAAAGACCTTCATTTCTGGCAACCATTTCGTAGTGGCCACTCTTGTCTGTAGGCATTGCTGCCTGGTATACTGCTTTCTTAAAGAAAGAGCTAACTTTTCTGACCTGACACCATCATTGCCTTTTGGCTTGTTGTATGTCCAGTTTTTCCTGTATAATTTAAAGGTAACTTCTGCATATGTACCTGGGATTAAATCCAATAAAGCCCATCTGATGTGTACATGATAGTGCTGTTAAACTTGAGACATATGCAGACCTACTTGTGTCTCTGCCTGCCCTCTTTCTTACACACACACACACACACACACACACACACACACACACACCCCTTTCTGTCTCTCTCACGTACAAATACATAATACCTGGTACCTTTTCAATGCAAAGCAGGTGAGCTACTACTTACCTACGTCCCTTCCCCAATATAATGCAGGAGATAAGTTAGGAATAGTTTGCATTCAGAAATAAAATAAAAATCATTAGAAGTCACAATGGTGGTGGTGGGAATCAGGACCACATCCCTTGTGTCTGTTTCCAGACTGGAATAATCTCCCCAGAGCTGGTATTTTCTCCACAGGAACACGCTACTGCTATCACACAGCAACTTAAAATAGCTGCTTGAAGGAGAGTGTCCTGTTGGGATCCTCACACAACTCAGGAGATCTTATTTATGGGTCTTCCATGTCATGTCTAGTTTGGCTCTCATGGTAAAAGTCTATGTCTCCTGGTGGGGAACAGCACAGCCAGTGGGTCATGGTGGGCTGGTTAAAATCAGTCTCACAGCACTGTGGGCCCCCTTGAAGTCAGGGGCTACATGGGAACATCTTGAGGGCCACAAGTCCTCACCTCACACGCAGTCTATACCTTTCCTTATCTGTCTGACATTCTGACCGTTTTCATAGCTTATTCTAAACTATTCCCTGTGAATGGGACTTGCTCTCCATGTGCGTGTATAGTCTTACTGAGGTTGCTTTATGAAAAACACAGGACCCTTGAGAAGGTGACTAGAGTAATTCCCTCTTCTTTTCTAACTGCATATGATTCCTTCCCTTGCATTTCCCAGTGCATCTTGCCTGGATGTATCTGGCAGGCTTCAGATTCTCTAGGGACTATATTGTTTATATTGAATATATGCCTTGCACAGTTTATATTGAATATATGCCTTGCACAGTCATTGTTTAACAAATACGGTCTTTCTCATGACAGCTTCTTCCATCTGAAGATTTCTGTAGCCAGAATTGTTGGTTGCTCTCCTTACTCAGGGTATATCCACTTCCTTTACCTTTCTCCATTTCCATCCGATTGGGTGTTCAAAGCTTCGTTCGTGCGAGCAAGGCTTATCTGTTGTTGCATTACATCACAGCATATTGTTGGGAGAGAGGTATGATTACTTGATAACCGCCTATTCCTTTAGCCTCTGGAACATTTCCCTGGCTTGAGCATGGGGTAACTGACAACCTGAACAGCAATTCCTCTTTTCAAATCACCCGTCTTTTAAACCAAGGTCTTAATGTGAGCACTCTCCTGAACATTACAACAAGAAGGATAAAAAATAAACGTGAGAAACGGAGACGTCATCTTTTCCAACCCCACCATAACATCAAAAGGAGAGCTCTGGATGCAGAAGCGGTTCACACATATCCACATGAGGGAAATACATAATCTCTGCCGTCTCACTTACAGTGTAAGCAGGAAAGGGGGAAGCCGAGGTTACCCGTGTTTCCTCTATCTCTGCTTACATTTTAAAGGGATGGCCAAGTGCTTTTTTTAAAACAGTGACATCAGAACAGCCTTCTTTGGCATTCTAGACCAAATTTCTGTTTTCATCCTGGTCAGACCTTTCATTGAGGCCTGTCTGGAGTTTGTGCCGGGTGAGGGGAGACACAGCAGAAGTAGATCCCTTTGATCCACACTCATCTTATGGGGAACAAAGACAGCATTTAAGTTTCAGGGCTGCCTTTGCATAAACCTAAGGCCTGCGGTGACCTGAACTCTGAAATTGCCATCCTCATTGGAAGATAGATGGTTTTAATTTGACAAGGGAGTTCTCTGCCAAGAAGCTTCTTAAATATGTTTCGTCCTCATTTAAGTCCATTGTGGGCTCCCCTTCCTTGGATGTTTTTAAGCTGAGGTTGGATGGCCATTGGTCATGGATGCTTTAGTTGGGATTCCTGCATTGCAGGAGTCTAGACTTACTGTATAAAATGGGTTTATGTATGCAGAGAAAAAAGACAAGATTGGGTTAAGTTAGGTGTGCCGGTTAATTTTGGGTGTGTTTGTCCTGCAACTGCAACCAGTTAAGCTGTTTCAAAGGGTAAATCTGGAAGCTGTATGTTTGGCAGCTAGTAGTTACCACTCGAAATATCCTTTGCATTGTGTCCTTCATGTTGGTCCTGCAACATATAGTATTTTCTTTCATGTGACTATATATATTTGGAAAGCCCTTGTCAACTTCTGCTTTTAGATTCCCATGGTATCCAGACAAACATACTTTAGTTAACATGAACTATGGTTAGAGTCAACCAAACCAGTTGCAAACCTTGGTGTCATGGTTAATGATAACCACATTTCTGGATCCAGACAATAGTTTTTTTGTTGATTGGTTTGTTTTGATAGTCCTGGTCATTGACTGGTTATTTTTAGGCAGCATTTAACAAGTACTAAGTAATGGTGAATGTGTTGTGCAATATCTATGATCATAACATCTTGTGTGACACAAGCCACTTGGCCATTTCACAGTTTTACATTCCACCCCCTCAAGAATACACATAAAATATTTTAAATGAGCATCTAAAAAAATATTCAGTATGAATGCAAGCACACGAATCATAACATGAATCATCAGGGGGCAGTTTCCTGTTGAGTATACTCAGTAAGAAATTTTCTCTGTGAGATGTATAAAGTGTTCCTCATTGTTCCATTTTTTTTTCATGGTCTGTGTATGCACACACATGTATTATATTTCTTTCTTCGGTTTTGTTTCTGTCACTGTCCAGACAGAATTACTTCCCTGATTATTGAATGTAATTGGATTAAATTTAGGACTGTTGATTTCATGGCTCTATAGAGGGCACATGTATTCCAAATGGGATTATTCACAATTACATACACTTAAACATTTAATTTTATCCATATTTCCAAATATGTTTATGTACTTGTTCATGCATGTCATGCAAAAAATATATATGAATATTTGAAATTTTGCATTCTCAGTTGGAACAGTTGTTTGAAAAATGTAGAGAGAGCACCACTTTTTTGCACGAAGTTCTGGCCATAAAGCATTTTCTTATTTCTTACAGATTACTGCATATTGCTTACATTCAGACTGCTGTAATTAACCCACAGTTGCTTATTTAGTTAATAATTTTGTATTCTGGTTAAATTTGATGGATGCCAGCACAGGAATGTGTTGGTGGTTAAAAGTAAGTGATGATCCAGCACTAGTCTATCTGAGATAAATTGTGCCATTTCTAAAACAGGAATCCACAATCCTATGCTTATTTATTTATTTATCCTTTAGATATACTGGGATGCAAATATAAACATCCATTAAGCTTAAATTAGATACCCCCTGTAATTACCAAACAATTCTGGCTGCTCTGTAGTTTTCATTGCAATTAACTGTTTGGGAAATACAGTCTTCCTAAATAATATAATGGAACCAGCTACTGTGAGTTCGCCAGCTCATTCAACACCTGATATACTTTCCTTACAGAATAAATGATGCAAACTATTTCTACTAAGATAGCCTGAACCATCCATGTAAGAATTGCATGTAAATTTAATTTTTCTAAACCCCCGTGACTTGGATAAGAGGAACAAAACTCGAAGTCCCTCCCTGCCCTAGAGCAATTCTTTTTCATGATTTTATATGAAATATGGGTGCCCAAGATTATTACGTGTTAATCTTTTATGTGGGTTACAGAATTAAAACGCAGTATTGAAAAGAATTTAAGACAGCTCGTGATCATAAAAATAAGATGCATGCTACAAACATGCAGCTCAAGTGTCAAAAGGCAGGGGAAAGAGGTGAGGATAACCCTTAAACTTGCTATTTGCCGCATAGTTGTGTGGGGATGATCTTTCCTTTCATTAGAAGAACAAAACCAGATGGAACTAGGTGTGTGGAGGTGGAACTGTTCTTCATATCCTTCCATTTCGAAACGGCAAATGGAGGAAGCGTCCCTCTTTTCCTTGGAACAGTCAGTGTGGCCTCATGCTTGCGCCATGATTCTGTAATGTATGAGACGTTGATCTGTAGGGGTCAGCAGCACTGTGTTCCAGAACCCCTGTTTTTTGGACCATGTCCCTTTCTGTTTACACACATGCCCCATTTCAAAGTACGAAAATTGTGGAGAAGATGGCTGTCATCATTACTGTAGCCTCTTCCATTTTAATTACGTTTACGGACTGAACTGCAAGCTCGGCAGCTCAAAGTAGGAGGCAGTCCATGTTCTTGCATGATTATGGTTTTCTAACATTGGCCCTGGAATTTAGTTGGAAGTGTGGCTGGGGAAAAAGTTCGGTACATAAACTCACCAGCATTAACAAGTCTAGTGTCTACATTTTTAAACACACACACACACACACACGAGTGTATCTGAAGATCATTATTAAAATTTAAAAAAAGCAGGGGAAGGGCAATAAATGTAGTAGTCATTGTATCACTGCAGTATGTGTGTGTGACACATGGTTTTTGTCTTTTCATCTTCCACAAGAGCCAAAAGTTTCCTGCCGCTCTCTTTCCAGCTATTGACAAATGATTGCCAGATGTGAGGTTTTTTGCAGTGCTCTTTCCCCCCCTCAGCAAACCTGCAGCGATGGGATATTTGATTCTCCCTTGCCCATTTCATCTCCTTCCCACATCTGCCAGGGACACACAAGCAATACATCCCTACATGAGAGTTTAAAGTTTACTCAAGCTCCTTCTCTACTTCCTCGCTCCCCCAACCCACCCGGCTCTCTCCATCAGATAAAGCTTTTTTTCTGAGAGACAACTGATTGAAGTCAATAACGACTCTTTGCAATTCTCCAACGGCCTTAGGAATATGTTGTTTTAATTATCTGCATCAAGGTAACACTGTTAAGTTTTATTTATTTTTGAGATGATAGGTGGGGAAAGTATGATGTAACTTGGTTCCTGTGGCTGTCAGGCTTATAGGAGCTCTTCAGGCTCTTGAGAACATCGCATATCTTTTTTTGTGGGATCTTCTGGTAAAGTCGCTGTAGGAACTGGCTAACTTCTAAAAGAGCACCTATGAACACCCCCTACAGAAAAAAAACACACATTAGACATTTAAATGATGGGGAGGGTTAATACTTCAACAGCTTAAAAAAAAAAGAGAGAGAGAGAGACATTCCCCAGTTCCCTTGATAATTGTTCTAAGTGATTTTAAAGAGAGAGAGAGCTGTTTCTGAAATAGCTTATAATAACAGTAAGAAATGGCCACATATAGAAGCAGCAGCAAATAAAGACACTTTTAAGGGTGGCTGGTTTATGCTGATGAGTCCATCCCTCCAAATGTCCCCCTTTAAAATAGTTTCTATTAAAAATCACATTTTTCTCCCCGGCCTGTTCAATAGGGTGACCTCTTTTTTTTTTTTTTTTAATAATATTTATTACTTTTCCAACAATTTGAACACACAACAAAATAAAAAGAAGAAAGAACAATACAATACAATACAACACAATACAATACAATACAAAAACACTACACAACACATTAAACTAACAAAACAAAACAAAAACAGTTTTTAAAAAATCAAACAATTTCAATATCTTATCTTTCATTCACTTATTTCAGTGACCTCCTCACACCTCCCTTTTTGTATTCCACTTCTGTTGATTGTTTCAGCAATTCCTTTCCATCTTCCTCTGCTTTCTATCCTTTAATTATCTTAACAGCTTCTAGCCTTATTTTTCCCTTTAATACTCTATTAATCTATTTATACTTAATTCCTTATAACATTTCTACTAAAGCCATATAACTTCATTCCAACATTTTTCTAACATTCATTAATTTTACAATATTTCTGTAAATAGTCTTTAAACTTTTTCCAGTCTTCTTCCACCGACTCTTCTCCCTGGTCTCGGATTCTGCCAGTCATTTCCGCCAATTCCATATAGTCCATCAACTTCATCTGCCATTCTTCCCGAGTGGGTAAATCTTGTGTCTTCCAATACTTCGCGATGAGTATTCTTGCTGCTGTTGTTGCATACATAAAAAAAAGTTCTATCCTTCTTTGACACCAATTGGCCAACCGTGCCCAGGAGAAAGGCCTCTGATTTCTTCAGAAAGGTATATTTAAATATCTTTTTCATTTCATTATAGATCATCTCCCAGAATGTCTTAATTCTTGGGCATGTCCACCTCTTTTGTTTTTATACTGAAATTCTGGTTAACTTGAGCCCCTTCTTATTCCCTGGCCAAGTTTAGCATTTTTAAAAAGACTCGCTGGAACATCTGCTGCATGTACTTGCAACGGCTGATGGGATTGCCCTCAGCTTTTCCAGCGTTGATTTGAATGGACATCATTTGCCCCATTCTCCTCAGTGATCGCAGGCAGAACACAGGTGATAGCGACATATCTCGATCTTGCGCCTGTAAGAGAGAAGCTCAGAGCTTCGCTGTAACAAGAAACAATATAAATGTAATATAGCATAATTTAAAACATACCATGTGTGCACACAAGCCTATGTGGCAAAAAACCAAAATGGGGGTGGGGGGGGGAGAGAGAAGCAGTAAAAGGGAGAACAAGGCTCTCTGATTCTGGGTCTTAAAGGCCGTATAACTGGGTAGACCCCTTTCATTAGCCAGAATCAGGCAGCAGACGGGTGTTGTTATAAGGCAACAAATTATCAGTTATTTATTTTTGTATTTTTACTGTTGAGAAAGGGAATTTGGGGTGGCTGCCTCAGGCATCAAAATGTTTGTGCCTGCCCTAACTGCCCCATATGAGGAATCCAAAAATGTGCATGAGGTTGTTTCTGAGGCAGTAGTGGCCCCTCTCAAAATCCTGTTGAAAAAACCCAGGCCATTTCCAGGTTTTGAGGCCCCTAGCCGTAATAAATGCAGCCATGGGAAAATAACAACACGTGGAAAGAAAATAAGGCATCAAAACAGAAGAGAAGAAACGAGACATAATCTGAATACACACATTCAACAAATGCTCTTCTAGTCTTTTTCTGTGATATGCACTAAATACTAAAGAAAAGTTTCACTTCAGACCCTCCAAGTATCTCTATTTTCCTGGGACAGTCCTAGATTTTCAGAAGCCATCCTGGTTTCTGATTTGATCATGGAATGTCCCACTTTTCCTTAGAACATCCCTGTTTTCATTGTTGTTTTTGGTGGAGTTGTTTTTTTGAGGGTATGGAGTTATGGGACCCCCGAGCCAAGGAAATAAGTAACTAGACAACCTTTAGAAGACATCTGAAAGCAGCCCTGTATAGGGAAGTTTGTTAATGTTTCATTATGTTTTTATATATGTTGGAAGCTGCCCAGGGTGGCTGGGGCAACCCAGTCAGATGGGTGAGGTATACATAATAAAATAATAATAATAATAATAATAATAATAATAATAATAATAATGGAATAGGGCACCCCTATTTTCATCGGAGAAATGTTGGAGGTATATCACTTTCATGCCATGTTGCCATTGATCCTCTGCATATGACAAAATCTGTATCACTTAACAAAAAGTGTGTCTTTTACCAAATCTCATCCCTCATTTGCTTAAGCTTGCAACTCTAAACTGAGAGTATCTGTCACAATTTGATCCAATGCACTTAAAAGCAAATTGTGAAACTTAACAAATGCCCCCCAAAATTAGCAAGTGTCTAAATGTGACTTCTCCTTTGACCTTGAAGCCCTGGGCCAAATCACCCACCTGGCTGCCCCTCTGATTTGCCATGCGCCCCCGCCCCCAACAGATGGTCATCACACATTTTAAATTCCCTCAAGTATAAATCATACATTGGTGATTTGGTGTTTCTGTGCTGGAGCAACAAACTATTGAAGTTGCACCGAATTCAGAACCTGAACATGTATGTGCAAGTATCATTTATGTGATTTGAGAACAGTCAAGGAAAGTCAATTTTCCTATTTCTCTTTTTTTTAAAAAAAACAAAAAACACCACGGGGATTTATGCGATCGAAGCTAAGAGTCGTTGAAGGTCAACACTACTTCACTACTTTCTCCAAACAGTCTGAAACTCCAGTCACAAGAGGCAAGCTCCTTCAGATTCAAAACACTTCACTGAATATGCCCCCAGTAAAACAGCTCTGGTTTCTCATGCCTTCCTACACCTCTCAATATTGAAACTCGGGGAGATAGAGGGAGAGGTGCTAAGCAATGGAGGTGTCATCCGGCAGCGGCACCCAGGGAACGTCCTTCAGAGGACAACTTGTCACTAGCCGTCAAAGAAGCGAGTGGCTTTGTGGTCTCCGAACATCTGGCAGCACTGCACAGGAAGCTGAGGGGGTGTCATTAATTGTGATGAAATAATTTAAACCATCAGGAATAAATGAGGCTGTTAAGCTAAGTTCAGATTCCATTTGCCATGCACATGTGTCTAGCAGCCTGTGTGCATTTTAGGAAGGGGAAGAAAAGGGAATTAATGTTAGCTTGGGAGCAGAAGTGAAACAGATACAGCAAATGGAACACATTTATGGAGCAGTGACTTCTTGTAGAACTGTATTTCAGAGGTGGGGCTGCAGAATGTCACTGCATGGAAAACCAGCATGTTTTGTCTAAAAACCTTTGCATAAAATCAGACTTGAAGTGGGAGCTGTATTGATTCATAACCACTCCAGCGTTTTCCCCTTGATGCTATACTTCAGGTTTAGAAAGAGAGGACTGGGGGAGGGGGAGAAGAGGGAGAGGAGTTTCCATGCCATATATCAGAGGTACCCCAGTGTTAAGGATTAAGAGTGTGCATTGCCTACACTGAAATAGCTGCATGTGGGTACAACAGACTGCTGCAGCATAGCATGTGTGCATTTGAGATACTTAGCTTAAATATAACATGTGAAGCAATTCTCAGTGTTTTTGTGAAGTTGTTCTTTGCATTCTTAAGCAGATGCTAGCTGTGTTTGGAGAATCGTATCATGGATTAATAAACTAAGGTCTGAATAAGCCTTGTGCCCCTGTATGTAGCCACTTCTCCCATTGTATGTCTGGAGAATTTTTGGCTTTCCTTTATTTTTGCATTGTGCTACATGCTTTCTTTGTATCCCCTACCACTAAATACATATTTGTTAATGTCTGTTGATTGATCAATTTGCTATTTTGATGTGGGGCAGGGGAGTACAAGAAATTGGGGCACAAATGATTTGTATCCTTGCTCCGCTATGAAGACTATTGGCCTGCAGGAAACCAGGATTGGTAATTTGTATTTACTTTGGAGGAATTCTGTGGCGAAAACAAATTGGCTAAGAAGTTTCAAATACTTTGTACACTAGATGGTACTCTAGAAATAGTAAACAATAACATTAGTGTTTGAAATTTCAGCAGTTCCGCAGAACAGGATTTTAGGAGTGAATAACTCTCTTGGAAGTTCAGTTTACTAAACTGGTTTACAGAGAAAGCAATGGTTTAAAAAGGGTTTGGAAATTTGGTTGTAGGGAACTTGGTTGTAGGAGTTAAAGGCTGTGATTTCACATGTGTATGTTGGTTTTATCAAGTGTATCTTGCAAGGTTTTCTAGCATCGTTGTTGATAAAACCTTGCAGATAAAATCTGGTCCTTTGTAGTGACTGAGAAGTGTTCAAAAGGAAAAAATGGAAATGATCAAGGCCGCATATCTTCAGATAATAATACTAATCTGGGAATTTGGATAGTCAATGTATTTTCATGTAAGGTGTATTGTATTAGCTTCTTCTTCTTCTTCCTGTTGTTGTTAATTAAGTGACATGTTGGTGTTCAGAGAATACCATGCTTAAACAATTACCATTTGGTAGTCCTGCAATTCTGATACATATAGAGGCTAAGAGAAATCTCATCTTTGTCATCAACTCACCAGATGACCTTAGGTATGCCGCTGTGTCTCAGCCTTAGCAGCTGCCTATATAGCCTGCAATATGGAAATAATAATACTTGTCTATCTTACAGGATTTGTGTAAGGATTATCACTAGGTACTCAAGAAGGTGGTGGCAGCCCACTTAAAGGCAAGCTGGAAGGAAACTCATTATTTGGGTCCATTTCAACCAGGCTTCAGTCCTGGATATGATGCTGAAACGGCCTTGTTGATGACCTCTGTCAGGAAGAAGATGAGGGAGTTCAACCCTATTGATTGCCCTTGACCTCCCTGTGGCTTTTGATACTGTTGACCATGATATTCTTCTGGGCAGGGATACTTGCATAGGGAGCCCATAAGTGTGTACATCTTCCCCTTTACAGACATCGCCTAAGTGCCTGGACAGCAGGTGTTGGGGGCTAGCAGGGGCAGCTCTGGTCTGTTGATGCAATTACAGAACCTTCAAGTGTCCCTATTTTCCAGGGACAGTCCTGGATTTTCCGAAGCTATCCTGGTTTCTGCTTTGATCCTGTGATGTCCCACTTTTCTTTACTGCATCCCTATTTTCATTGGATAAATGTTGGAGGGTATGGAGTTATGCGACCCCCAAGCCAAGGAGAGAAGTAACTATGCAACCTTTAGAAGACATCTGAGGGCAGTCCTGTATAGGGAAGTTTAATGTTTTAGTATGTTTTTATATATGTTGGAATGA